GCATTCGTCTCTACATGCTGCATATAAATCACCCTTTGCTATCTACGGTGAGCAATTTTAACTATAAACATTGGTTAACAGTAAGTTTTTTGCTGGCAATTCTTAGTAGTGGACGTTACAAGCCCAATCTTGGGTGCTGGTTTCCTCCGGCATTTCAAACTCCTTCTTGACATTCCAAAACAGCGTCTGGTAGACCCTACAAAAGACCTCGTGGTTCTAGGAACACCACTTTCACTATCCAATGAACGCCCCAGAGAGTCTGTATACGATCGCAAATTCTGGAATAATTGGGTTGTGGGGATATTTATACAGCGTGTAGTTGGTTGTACTTGGCAAATTCTGGACTTTCCGCCTTCAAAGGGTTGTTAAAACGAAATTTTCATGTCGCAAAATAAGGCCGCAGAAGCGTTGAGCGGTACGCTAAGAACTCCAAAACATCACTCATACATCGGTATGTCAAACGGACGGCCGTATTTTTGGAAAAGAAGTTCGCGATCAAGCGAGGACTAGGACGTCAAGATCCTCCTAGAAGTCTGAAGAATGAGAGCAAGCGCCTTCGCTTCTTTCCTTCTCGCTTCGGTTCTCCAGCTCGAGGGGACGAAGCGAAGGGGAGGGGGAATGAGAATCATGACGTCACATATATCGTGGGTCTCGTTGGCGGTGTTCAGTCCCGCCCTTCTTTTCCATAAATACGGACACCCGTTAGAGATATTGCTGTATGAGTAATTTTGTTTGGTTTTGCTGCGTTCCGCCTATCGCTCCAGCCTTGCTTTGTGGGCTCACACTTTTGGCTCAGGATCCTTTTAACTCGTGCTAAGAAAATTGATCACCCGATTAAACATGACGCCAACCTCCAAACTGTAACTACCGGACAACTTGGGTTTCCTCGTTTAAGCCACTTGTATGGGGATCGCTTAAATGTCAGCGCAACAAAATGTTTTCCGTATACTTGACATGGGAATTATACGACCGTCGTGAAGCGCCTGGGCACCGCATGTACAGATGTTGCAGAGAAATACTCCGGAGATTGCTGACTTTTTGGGGTTATTATAGCGCCTTGAACAACATCAGAGTATCCGATTGTTACCTAGCCCCCACATCGAAGATTTCACAGCGTCTCGTCATGGCTCCAACATCTCCAAAATAGACCCCCTAAAGGTGTACCATCGAATTGCATTGGGACCACTCAATAGCCTTAAAACAGCCATCGCTCCTCCATTCGGTCTTTTTGAGTATGTGAGAATGCCTTTTGGCTTGCGAAATGCAGTCCAGATGTTTCAACGTTTTGTCGATCACGTGACTTGAGAAATTCTAAATTGGTTAAGGACATCTTCCCTAATGAAAACGCCATTTGTATGAGAAAAGTCTTGTGTATCATAAACACATATGAATCATACAATATATATATAACCATTTTAGAACTATATAATAATTATATAATATATATAAAAACATATAAGAACCACATTAGGACTATATAACAATTATATGAAATATACAAGAACATAAAAACATATAAGAAATTTTCAAAATTTTTTTATATGGTTCCTTATATGTTCGTTTATATCTTATATAGTGCTTATATAGTTACTATATGTTCTTATATATCTTATATGATTTATAAGTGTTTATTGGACACAGAAATGAGATTTTTCGATAGGGTTGATCCTCCTCATTTACACTCTTGACCAAGAAGTACACTTCGAGGGTCTCGAATTTGTTTTCTAACGCCTTGATGATTACGCTCTCATAATCAATAAGGACAAGTGCGAGTTTGGTGTGACTTAGACAGATTCCTTGGCTACCGCTTGACCAGCACGGACTTGAACCACTCGACACCAAAGAAGACGTCCAGCACTTCTCTTGGCCTTTGTATTTCGACGTTTTTCTTCGACGTTTTTTCTACCTTTCGTTTCTGGCACAAGTTCGCCGATTAAATCTTTATTTTCAATTTACTATTCATCGTCTCTTAGACTTCAACAGTGATAATATCCGATCCGATCTCTTCAACGCTAAGCGAGCGCCTGCTGGGCACAGCAGTGAAAATTGTGAACAAGCAAAATGCCTCGTTCCTGCCGGACGATACTAACGAAAATTTTTGCTTCCACAAGTGAAGAAATATGCCACAAGAATGGTTGAAATCGTCTCGAATTCACATCCAAATTGAATTCTAATAGAATATACATATAAATGGAGCCGTTTATTACATAGTAAAAAAAATACCAGCTAAGGTAGAAGTGTAATTTTTCCCTGTTTAGAATAATTTGCCTGGAATTCAGCGATACCGATTAATCCACTAAAGATTGCCGAATATTCGTTTCAAATGTTTAATCGACGCCAAGCGCTAATTAATTTCCTCTTGTTAAAAGACGTTTAAAACGTGAAGGCAGAAGCCTAAACGAAACCTCCTAAGTACGTTCAAAATCGGAGCGGTAAGCTAGAAATCAAGAAAATAAAATAATAAAAAAAAAACATTGTCAAACGTTATTTGTATTTTCGAAACTTGCAGTGGGACACATTTCTGAGATCCGAATAAAGACAATTCTTATGGGTGCCTGCACACAGCATTGAGACTGGCTCCCCGATCGGCTCTGTTCCTTAAGAGGTACGGGCTTCAATTTAATTTTTAAACTGTGTACTACTACAGCCACTGGCAATTAAAAAAAAAACGCCGTGTGTGAAGGGTCCCAAGAAGCTATGATCGATCAACCGTAAATAAGATTGCTCATGAGCCGATATATACCCCGAAGGACGACCCAGGAAGGAAGAAGTATATGGTTATGGTAGGCCCCGCCGTGCGTTTCTTCAACTGTCCGTGATTACACCAATAAAGTTCTTCATGTAATCGACCAGAAACTATCGCTTATCGCCTTTACAAAGCAGTTGTTTTAGATTCAAGGATTTACACTAGGCGTTTGCCTCACGTGTAGATCAAAATGTATATATGCGTAGATCACATGCGCGAATGTACGCTCAACCAAATGGGGAACCTCCAAAAGAAAACACCTTTGAGAGTAAAAAATTATTTTGTGAGATTGTCAGAACAGAGCATTTATATATCATTAAGACAAATCTTAATATTTTTCGAAGTACAATGTTTTCCAAAATTGCCTGGTTTTACGATAGACCAATTTCTCACTTGCTTGGAGAAAATTGGGTTTCATTTAGGCTTTCATATTCATGAATAAAACCAGTAACAGCAGAGTCACTCACAGCTCATTAATAAAGGTCATAGTGTTCACGCCTCTCGCTTCGTGGACTGTTCTTCGCGTTCGCATTGGCGAATTCCGCATCTCATTGGCTACGGAATGGTAATAAGATACTTTGTGCTGGCTACGTTCTGCGTTACTAAGGCGGTCGGTGCACGACTATCCCAAATTAGAGAAACCAAGCCAAGTCCGCTGTGTGTTGTCGTATCGCGTCCGGTCTTTCATTATGAAAATGTTGCTTCTACGAATGAAGTCCTTTGCTGCAAACGTCTGAGGAAGTTGATCAACGCTTGATTGTGCTTGAGTTAACACTTAGCTTCCAACTCTCCTGTTTGCTACTAATTCACAATCTTCTTAAGTAAAGCCAAGTCAACATTAAGCTACTGATTATGTATCTGTAACGTGTAAAGAACCAGTCCTGATCTCGTGTAACCCAGTGTCACAATAAGTACGCCGGAAGCCCTGTGATGAATTAATCACTGTGTTGTTCCTTGTTGACCTTCGCATAATGGTTTTCTTTAGGAAAAATGAAAGACGTTTAGAAATCTCTGTAATGCGAAATTAGAGAGGTGTTCTTGAGGAGGAGGAAGGGAGGGTACGGAGGGGAAGGTATACCCTTCCTCCTCCTCCTCCTCCTGCTCTCCCTTCCCCCTCGCTTCCTTCTCTCATCCTCCTCTCTCTTCCTCCTCTCCCCTTCTCCTCTCTCTTCCTCCTCTCCCCTTCTCCTCTCCTCTTCCTCCGTACCCTCCATTCACCCTCACATGTACCGTCCCCTCCTCTTCCTACGCCACCTCCCATCCACCACCTCCATGCCTTTCCCCTCCTCCTCCTCCATACCCTCCCCTCCTCCCACAGTTTCCCCACTGAATTTAGCTGGAAAATCGACGCCACGTGACCTCAAGACCAATTCAATTTCCCTGCTAAATTCAACGGGGAAAATGACGTCGCATGACTTGGTGTCACGCCACCCATTAACAAATTCAGTTTCTCCGCTAAATTTAGCGGGAAAATTGACGTCACGTGACCTCAACACCAACTCAATTTCCCGCTAAATTTAGCAGGGAAAATGCATGAGGCCCCATGACTTTGTTTAACGTCCCCCATAAACAAATTCTGTCTCCGCTAGATTTAGCGGGAAAATTGACGTCACGTGACCGCAACAGCCATTCAATTCTTCGCTAAATTTGGCGGGAAGATTGGCGTCACGTGACCTCAACACCAATTCAGTTTATCCGCTAAATTTAGCGGGGAAAATGACGTCACGGGACCTCAAGATCAATTCAATTTCCCCGCTAAATTCAACGGGGAAAATGACGTCACATGACTTCGTGTCACGTCACCCATTCACAAATTCAGTTTCTCCACTGAATTTAGTGGAAAAATTGATGCCACGTGACCTCAACCCCAATTTGATTTCCCGCTAAATTTAGCGGGGCGGTTATGCCGACCGCGACGGCCACGCTGACGCCGACGCCGACAGCGACACCGCGAATCACGGAAACAGGCGCCTAAGAGCTGCGCTCTAAAAAAAATTCCCGCACGATTGTTTTTGGTGGGAAAATTATCTTGATAACACGTTCAGGTGCATTATATGTTGTGTTTCTAACAGATAAGATAACGACGAAGTGAAACATACTGAGAAATCTTCCACCATGCGCATAGTTATGGGTTTCTGACATTTGGGATTAAGATACGTTCAGACGTATTGAGACAACCCACAACATGCGTTCAGTTATCAGTCAGCGTGAAAGAGAGCGCGTTACGTATGCGATCATTACACGATACCTTTAATCAGCTTTTTGTCTTGTTGACAGTCGCTGCCCTTATAGTTTTGGCAAGGCCTTCAGAGGTTAGCCTCCACGCCAACACACGGAGCTCGTGATGAGCTAAGTGACTGAACATCCGCTTTCCCAACGTCACTCCCCACCAGTCGTTTCCCTCGTATGCAACTAACTTTTTAATATCAACTAGTTGAACGCCAGTCTTTAGAAACCCGTCGCCGGTAACGTAGACATCGTCAATAGGATGGAAAGGAAGAGAAAACGAGGCGTTGTAGAGTGATCGTAGAGCGCTCGCATTAAAGAAAGCCGCACCACCGGCACAGTATCGCGGAAACGTCTTGTTGGGATAAATCTTTTCAGGTATATACCACTTGGATTTTACGTCCCTTATGACTGTCACGTTCTCGTACACTAAACAATGACATTCCGGTTTTTGTGCTTGGGGACGTGTACTAAGATAATTCATTAGCATTGAAATGTTTGCCGCCATGTCGTCGTCCATCTTTAGAATGTACTCCACCGCCGGACAGTTCTCGATAACCCATTTCATGCCGTAGACGAATTTGTAGGTGAGGTTTCTGTAGGCGTCTCTGTAGGGTAACACCACGACGTCGCCATGTTGGGACGCCTCTTCTTCCACTTGCTTTGCGGTGTCGTTGTCTGAAGACAGCCCGACGAAAAACACGGTCGTCCAGCGGTAGTACGAGGAAAAGGTCCCGTTTTTCAAGCACCCGCGTATGATCGCTCGGTGACGAAAGTGTCCTGGTGCCGTGTGAATAAAAAACAGGTACCTTGGCTTTTTCCTGCAAGCCGAGGCCGTGTAGTGGGCATCTGGAAGATGACCTGTGTCTTCCACTGGGAATGGCAGCTCCTCGTAACCGTTTCGCAGTATCTCCTCTGGATTCCAGAAATTGGTGGTGTTGCAGCTTGCGCTGCTCTCGTTGAGGGTCACGTTTCGGGTCGACGGTGCACAGGTCCTGTGCAGCTGTAGAGCATACATACACATCACTGTTCCTAATGCAGCCACCAACACGCAGCATAGTTTGCGACTTCTTCGAAATACCATAGCCCGGCGAACCTGAAAAAAACAAACAAAAAAAGACAACTCACGTTGTGTATTTCCTGTACGAAAATTAATATATGTATAGTGCTCTCTATATAGGAGTTTAGAAAGAAGGAACTTTGTATTTCGAAGGGCCGTTTTTTTTTTTCGCGGTAGATGACACATCTATTGAGCGGTCAACGGCTTCGATCATGAAATAAATACATGCTTCATGCATTTCTGATAGAATACACGAATGCACACTGTTACGAGCCTCATTCAAATTAAAATGGACAGGAGCCGGGATCTAACACAGGAACCCTGGGTTGCAGGGTGAAAGATGCCGCTCCACCGGTTATGAGCTGTAGTGCGCTACCAAACTCGGTCGTACATGTTTCTACTTTAATACCAGGGCTGCCAACGTGGAAAGATAAAATTTCCCTAGAGGACGCCTGAAATTTCCCTATTTTTGCCGAAATTTTTCTTGCTTGCCCGAATAATTATATAATACTAAATATTTGTTGTTTTCTACATCACTTACATTTTTAGTGTGAGAAATATGTTATATTCGGAGCGCATGTTCGTCCACTTCTTGCGCAAGGGTTGCGATGATGTCCGATCGCAAAGCTCTTGTTGGCTGGTTGAAAAAAAAAAAAAAAATAGGGGGTAGACCTTAACGCATTTAGCATTGTAATCTATCCACCTTTTTTTTCGGCTGAAGCCAATCAGAGAAAAAAAACAGTGAGTGAGCAGGCGAGCTGGTGGATGTTGATCATGATGTAGAAAACCCGAGACTGTGGTAAAAGTAGGCAAACTTGCTCGAACAACTTGGCCTTCTTCGACCAAGTTTCCCTGCTTTTACCACAGTCTCGGGTTTTATAAACCAATCAGAGCTCGGCGTTGTTCTGACGTCACCGCAAACCCTGCACAAGAAACAGACGACTTGCTCTACGTATAGCTTTACGCCTTGCGTAGGTTTCGCAATAAATTAGTTTATCGGGCCAAAACCGTGGCCAAAGCAAATCTCTCGAGGGGAATTGTTACCGGAAGGTTCAAAATGACGTATAAAACCCTCTCTTCGGCTTATATCTTGTGCACGTCATCAGAACATGATATTGCTTTAATAACTTCATTAGCGCTTTTCATAATAGTCAGTCCAAGTCAAAATGTGTAACACAAGCGAGAGTTCTCAAACTCGAATACACGGAAAGCGACGGAACTTCACGAAATATTATTAGTGATGATAAGTCTATATCTCCAGACATTGTAGTATTTCTTTTTGAATTCAAGGTTTTTCTTTCGTTTTTTTCTTTTGAGAGGGCACAGCGGCGCCATCAGAATCTTCCACTTGGCTGGTAGCTTCCTCCAAATTTTTCAGGCGGCGACAAAAATTGATTTGGCCCAAAAAGTGTGATAAATGGATGGGAGCCAACAGCTGTACCGTTTGTGGTATCTTCCGCCACCTAGCGTAGTACTCATCGGTGTTTCCAGATGGTCGCACCACAAACACTCAAACGGCTGAAGGAAATAACCCAAAGGTAGGCAAAGCCGCTGAAATTCTATGTTATCTAGAAAAAGGAACCATGAAAGACCTATAGATTTTCAAATATTTACTGTGCCCAAAATTTCCCTCAAACTAGCTAGATTTGCCTTATTCCCACATAGACCTAAATATTACCTCGATCTGGTAAATTTGCCTCGAGTTGGCACCCCGGTAAATCTGAATGCGAAACTAAACAAAAAACAAAAAAACACTATATTTGATTGATATTTGCCTCTTCCAACTTTACGATTTATTGCACCAGTGTAGACATATAGGAGATTTTTTCCAAATTTTCTGAGCAACTTAACGTTTAATAGTTCATACCTCATATGTTTAGTTGTTCCTTTTAAGAGCGGTAGCTCATAGGCGCCCGTTTTCAGGTTGAGCGGCGACGGCGTCGACGTCACCGTCGGCGTCGGCGTAACCACACTAAATTTAGCGGGAAAATTGACGTCACGCAATCTTAACACAAATTCAATTCCCCGCCACATTTAGTGGGGAACATGGCGTCACACGACTTGGTGTCACGTCACCTATGAACAAATTCAGTTTCTCCGATAGATTTAGCGGGAAAATTGACGTCACAAGACCTCAACAGCAATTCAATTCCTTACTAAATTTAGCGGCAAAAATGGACGCCACTTGACCTCTACACCAATTCAGTTTCCCCGCTAGATTTATCGGGGAAAATGACGTCACATGACTTGGTGTCACGTCACCTATGAACAAATTCAGTTTTTCCGCTAGATTTAGCGGAAAATGACGTCAAATGACCTCAACACCAATTCGATTCCTCTCTGAGTTTGGCGGCAAGATTGACATCCCGCGACCTCAACACCAATTCAGTTTACCCGCTAAATTTAGCGGGAAAAATTACGTCACTAGACTTGGTGTAACGTCACCTATTAAGAAATTCAGTTCCTCGGCTAGATGTAGCGGGATAACTGACGTCATGTGAGCTCAACACCAATTCAGTTTCCCCGCTAAATTTAGCGGGGAAAATGACGTCACATGGTTTGGTGTCACGTAACCTATCAGCAAATTCAGTTTCTCTGATAGATTTAGCGGGAAAGTTGACGTCAGGTGTGGAGGAGGAGGAGGGGAGTGGAGGATGTGGAGAGGAGAGGAGGAGGAGGAGGAGGAAAGGAGGGTAGGTGGAGGAGGAGTGGAGAGGACGGTGAGGAAGCTTGGGAGAAGAGCGTGTTGGTTTAAGTCATGGATGAAGAAAGAATAAATTCTTTCTTCATGACAACACAACCACATATGAAAGATGTGGTTGTGTTGTCCCCGTTTTAATTGTTTTATTCTTTCTTCATCCATGGTGAGGAAGGAAGGGGGAGTACGGAAGAAAGGAGGGGAGAGGGCGACGAGGAAGGGAGAGGGGAGGAGGAAGCAAGAAGGTAAAGGAGGGGAGAGGAGGAGGAAGGAAGAGGAGGAGGAGCGGAAAGTAGAAGGGGGAAGAAGGGAGGAGAGTAGGAGGAGTAGAGGAGAAGAGGTGGACGAGGAGCAGAGGAGGAGGAGGAAAGAGAGAGGCGAGGAGGGGAGGGTACGGAGGACGGGGGGCATACTCTTCCCTCCTCCTCCTCAAGAGCTGCACTCTAATTTCACGTTACAGAGATTTTTAAACATGTCACCTTTTATTTATTAAAGTAAATCGCTCCTTTGTTTATTGCCTTGCATTCACGGCAGTTGTTCATGTCGTGTAACGTAAGTGACATGTTACTGCTCTTCTTATTTTGTGCACGCTCCATCCCGTATTTCTAGCTTCCCCTCCCAAATCATCGGGTGTGATGACTTTATATGACAAGAACTTCATATTACGGCGCACCCTGGACTGATTGTTTGCAAAGCAAAGACAATCAATCACTTGACTGGAAAGCGAAGAAAACAAGGGGAACAGCTTACAATGTGTTGGAGTTGGAGCATAATGAAGAAGACCCTTCTGTCAGTGCGAAGTGTGACGGGAGTTCAAAAACATAGGGAAGAATCTTCTAGATTTGCTTTTCCGAAGAATGTCTCGAGTCCTTCAGATTGGTTTTAGATCGGTAGAAATTGACCGATTCACTTCACCGCCTTACAACAAAAACGATTTTTAATTAGAAAGCAGAGGCAAGCTTTTAAGTGAGATCATGGCTTTGTGGAATAAAATTAATTCCAGCCGGTCAGAAAGACCAACGCTCATGAATTGCTGTGATCAAATACCTTTAAAGGCTGAGCGTGTTTACTGCAGTTTACGGTGTAGGGCGAGAGACAAGCCTATTAACTAACTTTTTAAAAATTGTATCGAATGAACTGTCTGTGCTGATGAAAACCGCGCAAAAGTGTGCATTCGGTGCCCTTGTGTTTGGAATTTCAAAACCTCAGCATGCACAAGATGATTGCGGCCGTACCTTTGAAGAAATATGGAGGGTGTACTTTTCGGGAAAGCACTGATGAAAGTTAATAGCTTGAATCTACGGAAAACGCTCGACGAATGACCATGCTGATACTATGAATTGGCCTAAGAAAGCGTCGCTGTAACACATCGTAAACCGTCATGCCCAGTGTCACAACGCAGTCTGCATTTTAGGTCTAGCATATTTTCAGGCTCGTCACTCGCGGCTTCCCCCCTGCATATTTCGGCTAATACTTCACAGCGCACAAAAGACAACTAACTATAAAATACAAACACACAAAGAAACAACTTTCACGCAGCGCTGACTGTCAACTCTGGGATATATTAAATCTCATCTTAGTTGTATTTTACTCTAACGCACTAAAAAGAAGAAGAAAATAAAGATTAACTGAGGAATGTAACAGAAGGAAAAAGAAAAAGATAAAAAAAGAAAAGGAGAGAAGAAAGTAAGTAAAGGAGGACAAGGAAATAAAATATAAAAGAAGTAAAAGAAAAAGAAAATGAAAGAGGAAGGGATAAAGTCCGGCTACAGTAAAGGTCACTAAGTAGGTTTTCCTAAATAATCTAACTCTTTTTGGAATAAGGTAATCGACGGCGTATTAACACATAATCCATCTAGCAGGTCTATGCTAGCGGCTTCGATAATTTCTCTAGTCAGTTGGTTCGTGCTTCATTCCAGTACTGTGCAATTGTTTAGAAGGAGAGAGCATCCACAATCTCTGCAATGAATGCCCAGGTGATTTGAGTTTGCGTTAATGGCGTTGTTGTTATGTTCTCGAAGTCTATGGTTAAGACAGCGACCCGTCTGCCCTACGTAACGCTTCCCACAGGTAAGAGGGAAGAATAGATGACTCCTTCTGCGCAGGGAACGAACTTAGTCTTGTGGTTTTTGTTGCAGCACTCTGGTAGAATAGATGGCCCATTCACCCGCTTCCATAGGTTGGAAAGTTTTTGCGGAGCGGAGAAGACTACGTCGATGCTGACTCTTTTGGCTACCTTTAACTTGTGGGACAGGTTGTGAATATAAGGAACTATGACAGGCCTTGTGGTGCGTCCTCTTTTTATGTGGTTAGTGGCTTCTGCTTGCTTGACCTCCCTAAGCAGGCATTCAGATACTGCAATCGACAACGACAAAGGATATCCTGCTGAAACCAATTGAGGTATTTGCGTTTTGATGCTTTATGGGTCATGTGCACGCAAGTTTGTTTAGAAGAGTTTTTTTTTTTTTTTGGGGGGGGGGGGGGCAAAGTTTAGCAAAGCCTCTTTTAACAAATTTTGAATGTGCGGAACTGTCATTAAGCAGTGGCCTTTTTGCCCTCGGTTAGTAAGACCAGCAGCTGTGACTGCTTAAAAAAAACAGTTGAAGGTCTAACAATTATATTGAATACTTGACCGGAAGTTCGTGGGTAAAGTTTAACGGATCAAGGCATTTCGGCCACCAAGGAGGGGAAAATGCTATCGTTGCTGTCAATGAAAACCAAGTAGTCATCCACGTGCCGAAGCACACTCACTATTTTTGAATTATCAAGGTTTTGCTGTAAGATTCTGTTGTAATAGGCCAGGAAGGTCACTGAGCATAGGAGCTATACAGGAACCTAAACATACTCCAGCCTTTTGTAAAAATGTTAAGCAATTTCAGGTGGCAAACGTAGCATGCAATTAGGTTGATATTAGGTCCTGGAAACTTTTGATAGACACCCCTGCTGCATTTTGGTAGGATACGACACCAAAGGAGGCAACACTGTTCTCTATGCACATCAGGAAACGATCTTGAGGTAGGGCATAATAAAGATCCTTAACGTCAATAGAAAAGTCCATGCGTCTTCTGTCCTTTAGCTCTTGGAAAAATTGCAAGACATCATCTGAGCTCCTAATCAAATAAGCATATTTTATGTGAAGAAGATTTAGTTTTTCTTGGAGGAACATGAAGATGGACTTTTGCCACGTGCCTCTTTCAGACACAATGACCTTGAGGGGGCAATCGGTTTTATGTGTTTTTGCATTGAAGAAATTCTCAAGGATAGATAGTTTACTCCGGTTAATTTACGAACGAAGTTGCTTCGGGCCAAGCGAATTACACAATTGCTTTGCTTGGCTTTCGATTTTACTTAAGGAAATGTCATGATGGCACTGGAAAGCGGAAAAAGAAGGAACTTTTGTGCTCATGCATTAAAACTTGTTTGGCGCTAACGCCTGTGCAGCCCCAGAGTCCGTTTTCCATTGTTATCATGACATTTCCTTAAGTAATATAAAAAGCCGATTGTTATGTGTGTCGCTTTTCGGGAACGTGTTCAGTTATTACATATTGCGGGTGTTCCCGGAACGCAATAATGTTGATAGGTGTGTCCAGTGCAGGCTAAGGACTAGCTCCTATCTTTCGTCCGCCAAGAACAATAATCTTGATTGGAGAAAATGCGCATTGAGCGCGTATGGTTGTGCATTAGGCCCAGTCAAGATACATCAACTTGGCAAAAAGACTAATGGTTGCTAGTTCTTAGCAAGCGCTGCGAACAACGACCGACACTATAGAGTCCCATGAGTGCGCTTGCATCAGCCAAGAGAACTTCTCTTCCACGGCGGCTGTCAACGAGAAGGACCGGCTATTTAATCACAATTAGATTTTCAAAATTTTGACCCGGACCAAGCCTATTCACCTTCAGCTTAAAGCTCACGGCTACTAATAATGATTCACCATCACTGACTATCTGATGAAATCATCCACGCCTTCAAAAAATTGGACCACCGATCAGGAGGTATAGCTCGCACAAGTCGAAACCCAATTCTCTACGTACTAAATCACCTCTCAAACTCGGTTGCTCTCTTTCGTGGTCTTCCCTTTTCAATCCAAAGTTGTGACCTAAGCACGAAATTTGGTTCCCGACCCGCCAGCAACAGACCTTTTCTCCACCTTGAAGCCGGACGTGGTGACGCGCGCGTCAGAAACCGAGCAACCCACCTACACACACTCCTAACAAGCAAAGAGATCGGTAACCAAAGACTCTGGTAACTGCTCCGAAGCCTGCAACGACTCCTTGGTGATAGGACCGCATAATGCGACACATCACTGTTGAAGGACGTATTTCTACAGCGAATGCCTACTAACGTTGGAAGGGTATCAGCAAAGACGTCTGACTTCATGTGGCCCGCCCTCGCATAGCTGGCCGATTCGGTTATGGGCATGGCCACACCACTGGTAGCAGCGCTCCGAAGACGCAAGGGTCTTCATTTTGCCCTGTGGCCTCACCACCCAAAGCCTCTCCACGGAGCCGCATCAGCTCCGACACGGGTTTCACCGCTAGTTGACAGGAAGTCAAAACAGCGCATCTGACATTACGATGCGTACTCGCTCAACTTAGCTGCCACATGCCACCGGTCGCAGTTATCGAAGCCGTCGACCTCGTCACATCTGAGAGTGTGCTCGTACCATCAAAATATAAATATCGACTTTTAAAATCGGCGATTGGAGTTGGGACCTATATTTTTAGAAACCTGGACAACGTTTTCAATGAGACGCCGGCGCTGAAGTCCGCTTTTTGCAGGCATCTGACCTCCCAAATTAATTCCGACTAAAACACCCGTTATTACAGGCTGCAAATAAAGCACCCCTTGCTATTTACGGTGAGTGAGTTTTAGCTATAAACATTGAAATATGGCGAGTTGTTCGCTGGTAATTTTTAGTCGGGGCCGCTACACACCTAATCTTCGGTGCTGATTTCCTCCGGTATTTCAAATCTTTGTTGACATGCCGAACAAGCGTCCAGTAGACCCTGTAACGAGCCTCGTGGTTTTCGGAACATCACTCTCGCTATCTAATGAACGCCCCAGTGAGCCTGTACACGAAACGCTACTTCTGTACTTTAAACAAACTTCTAACAAATTCAGCACCCGGTAAAACGTGACGCAAACCTCCAAATTTTAACTACCGTACAAGCTGTGTTTGCTCGCCCACGTAAATAGCACCCGAATTGCTTGAATGCGGCGCAAAAACGTTTGCTCATATACTTAATACGGGAATTATACGACCCTCGCCAAGTACCATGGGCACCGCCTCTACAGATTGTGCAGAGGAAGACCCTCGGACATTGCCGACCATTGGGGTGATAATTGCGCATTGAACAACTCAAGAACACCCGATCGGTACTCACCCCCAATCATCGAAAAATTCACAGTGTCTCTTCATGGCACCAGCATCTCCAAAATTTACCTCTTAAAGGCATATCGTCAAATCGCAGTGCGCCCACCCAATATTTCTAAAACATCCATCGTCCCTCTATTCTGTCCGTTTGAGTATGTGAGAATGCATTTTGGTCTGCGAAATGCAGTCGAGACGTTTCAATGTTTTGTGAATCACGTGACTCTAAAAATTAAGAGTTGTTATGAACAACTTGATTCTCCTCATTTACAGTCCTGACCAAGAAGCACACCACGAACATCTCGAACTTGTTTTTTAACGCCTTGAAGATTACTCTCTCATAATCAACAGCGACAAGTGCGAGTTTCATTTGACCAAGACAGATATCCTCGGCTACCATTTGACCAGCGTGAACTTGGACCACTCGACAACAAAGTCAAAGTCGACGCTCACTTCCCTCAACCTCTGTACTTACGCAAATTCCAAAAAAGAATCTTAGTTAAATCACTTCTACATTCGCTTCATTCCTAACTGCACTCAGTTACTCAAACTGCAAACGGATCTCCTAAAAGGCGTGCACGCCCCTTCCACAACACTCCAGTGGTTCCCGGAAACAGTTCAAGCTTTCGACAAGGCCAAGCAAGCACTTTCCAACGCCACTGCAATTTCCTCCAAGGCCGAGTGCCCAACGCAACATCATTGTCGACGCCTCAAATACTGTAGTTGGTGCAGTTTTCCGGCAGGTCATGGGAGCAGTCTGGCGGCCCATTAAAGGGGTACGGAAACAAAAATTGAAATATTCATTTTTCGTTCGGAAATGAGTCAAGCATGACGGATAATAACCGTAGATGATAATCGCACGTTTGTATTTTGAACGACTGGCTACATTTTTCGTTCCAAACGGTGCACTCGAGCAAGCGCTCGAAGAGAAGCAGTCGGAGAGCGCTATGCGTCATGTGATATCCGACGCAAACAAAAACAGAAAGAAAAGATTCCCCGCATTCGTGACGGAGCAAGGCTGGCGTGGATATGAGCTTTGCCCTTGGTGGCGTTGTCAGCGTTGTGGTGGTGTCAATAGGGAGTTTTCGTAGACCGCGTTTTCCCCTCCGCTATTCCCTCTCTAACGAAGAAGTTACTACTGCGCCTGCGCGCCGATAGCCTTGACTGTAGAGTTCCGGGTATCGTAGCGGGTTGCGGAGAGCGTTGCGGAACGGCGAAAACGATCTACGAAAACTCCCTAATAGCGTCAGCGCGTTACAACCGAGCCGTTCGAAGTGGGTGACGAGCGTGTGGCTGGTCCAAGGAGCACGTAGCTTCCACAACACTGTCAGCTTGGGGCTGAACGGGGTGAGGAAAGCAACTTTTGTTCGAGCTTTGAGCGACGGGCTAATTTTCTAGGGGGGGAATGGCTGTGTCGGGGTTGCACGAACGAGGGTCCGAGAAAGAGGAGAGCTCTTCCTTTCCGTCCTTTTGGACCGTTTGGTACAATGCGAGATTTGTGAGTTGAGCTAGGAGGAAAGCTAAGAAGGAAAATGTTGAAATTCCAAAGAGCGGCGCTGCTCCGCAGGAATCTGCTACGTCACGACTACGTAGCAAGTTCCTCAACGTTGCTAGATTACCTCCCAAATAGACTCCGCATGCATCCACCAGGTGCACATTGAAAGAGCGTTTATTTAGCTTTAAGATTAGTTTTCTTGTGCCTTTCAACGGAAGACTGTTGTTTTTTAGGAGGGTGCAACATGCAACATATTCAAGCTAGAAAATGAGTGCTGGAATTTCGTTTACCTACCCCTTTTAAATTAAACAAAATTGACCTTGCAGTGTGCCGCTACATCACCTTCGGCTGCGAACTTCTCACAATCCACGTTTCAAACACCTCTTAGGAGGTCGGTATTTTTTTCGTACTTACTGACGATAAGCCTCTTAGAAACGCCTTGGCATCATCCTGGGATAAACTCTCCACGAGAAGGACGCCACAAGTCTTGCGTCGAGGAATTCACCATAAACTCCGTCATGTTAAGGAATCCTGCAACCCAGTAGCAGGCGCTCCATCGCGCAAAACACCCACCTTCCTTTGTAATGCTCTGAGATCTGACATTAACTTCAATGCTACGGCTGTTGCGAAGCAGAGGTACGACTACATTAGTTTGTTCAGTTCCTCCTCCAATCGCCTGCTGCTCAAAAGCATCACAATACCACATTGTGATCAGCCTCTCCTTCGTTATTTCTCCGCTGAAGTGCTGCGGCTCGCCGTCCTTTCGGCATTTCGCCCTCAAATGTTCGACACCCCTCAAGGGTTGTGGCTTCCAGCAATACAGGCGACATAATGCCTGGTTACTTAACGTTTCCTTTGACATGGCATAAATCAGGATGGGACTGAATGGACGCAAGCATGCATAGGCTGCCAAAAATTAAAAATTAATCGACACACTTCCAAGCCTTTTCGAGAATTCCCACTACCCACCACCCGTTTTGATAACGTTAACATCAACACGGTCGTTGCCTGACCACCATCACTGAATAATTATTTAAAGACACGTTAAAGGCCACCTTTTAGACACATGTAGTGTTGTTGTGTTTGGTAAGTTCTGCTGTGGTTGGCCAATGTGTAATCTACCAATTTACACGTTAACCGCAAGCCTGTCGAATTTCCAATATCACAACCAACAACATCGCAAAGATTTTTATTATCGGATCCGTCGCAATATTTGGTGTGCCCTCCAGCAAAACAACTGACAGGGGATGACAGTTTGAGTCGTTCTTATATCGTTCTTTCATAGAGGTCCTCGGGACATTTCACATTCACGCATTTTTCTACTTTCTCCTCGCCAAATGCATGGTCGAAAGATTCCATAAATCCCTTAGGTTTTCACTCAAGGCACAGGGAGATTTCCTGAATTGCTGGCTGGAGTCTCCCAGGGGAGTGTACTTGTGCCGCTGTTGTTTATAATATTCACAAATGATAACAAACAATGTACACAAAATGTAAGGTTTCTTTCACATGAGGACGATACCGCTCTGTTTATTAAAGGCCAAACAACTACTGAGATCAAAAGTACGGCTGCATTTGTTCTCGAATACCTACACTTCCGGACTCAAGTTAATGGGCTAAAAATAAACAGACAAAACTAAATGCGTACTGTTTAGGCCACGGAATCGTAACGTTTCGTTGCCTTTAAATATCAAGACGAATTCATCTTTAGAGATTGTAAAATCCGTAAAACTTCGTGTCATTTCTACTGAATCACTTTCTAGGACTGAACACGTTGAGTATATCCACTGGAAAGTTTGCAAACCGATAGGAATACTATCTCAACATCGTTTTAGGTTTCCCGCGTGAGTGACGTTGCTCTTGTATTATTTCTGATTTACACAATTTACGTGAACCTGGTTCACGTAAATTGTGTAAGGTATCACCTGGTTTGGGAAAAAATCAGCGAAACAAAACTTAGCAACACTTCTTCTAACACAAAAGAAAGTATTTCGCATAATTAAAAATGTTTCTTTTTTGGATTTTTCTGAGGAGCTCTTTCTGAAAGAAATTAAGTTGTGACGATTCATTTATACAACTATCGTTTGACGGAAGTCTACAGCATGGCAATAAAACAAAATAACTTTTTTCTTTCCCAACTGTCGGGCTTGGTAAGAACAAACCAGACGTATAAAACTAGACATAGCGAGAACTGTTGTGTGACTACTCTCCGTACTAATTATGGATTAACCTATTCAAAATGTACACTACCGTCGCTTTTAAATAAGCTCGAACTGAAAATATTGACATTACTACCAAATCAAAGGGTATTTTAAGTGATATGCTGTTAGAAACAAAGTGGTAACTACTTTTTTGTAGCTAATCAATGTAATAAGGTGTAGTATCTTTTTTATTTGTTTGCTTGTGTTGTCTTAAATGTGTCTGCTGTTTTTCTGCACGCGGGGTAGGGCCTCATAAAGTAGCAAGCCAGGCAGCGTTTTACCCTATCTCCCTCCTTGTCCTTTGTATATAGAGAAAAATAAAGAGATTATTACTATTATACAACCCTTCATTCTTTTTGGACTCGGATCAGCGGTCAGCGGTCAGCTCAATTGTAGCCCCGCGGAGCTATGGTACTATTCTGCGTCTTCCCGGCGTTTTTTTGCTCCGGGCGATATAAAAGAAACTGTGACCCACCCTGCGAACCACGCGACCAAACTAAAAGCTGCCATGCGCCCTTTAATCCGCGCAGTTTCACAGAGACGACAGGAGCAGTCACCGATAGATGTGCGACAAGCTTTCCAAACGTCCACAAGCGTTGTTGTACGTAGAAACGTCGTTCGAAATCCGAACGACGTTTCGGATTCCCTGCTGCTTAAACCTGCTCTCCGCCCCGCGCATACAAAGCTAAACACCTTTTCTGGGCTCTCATTGGTTGGAGAGACGAGTGACGGGTGAAATGATCGATGCAAAAATGTTTCTCCGTGACGTAATAGTGTTTATATCAACACTATTTTTTATGTTTGAGAGATACATACTTTAGATAAAGTCATTGTTTTAAAAAAAATCCCAAGATTGTTTTTCCGCTTCCACTTCAAACGATAACAAACATGGCGTTTGCGGCGTGCTGGACGAGCATAGCGCGACGAATTCGTTTATATTTATGAATTCGATTTGTTCTCCGTTCATCGAGATGGGCAGAAGAACACCTTTTCCAACCTAGTTTACAGCAAACAACTGTCGCAAGTACGCGCTTCAGTAGCGCTGTGCGGGAACTTGGGGTCGTAGCGGGACTGGCATAGGCCTAACGTCCTACGTGAATTATGTTGTTTGATATCTTGCTTGATTTGTACATACCTTCGAGCGTGTTGCTGCAGAATGAAGATGTTGGTTCCCGTAAAAGCGGCCCCTGCCTCTCGTTGAATTGTGCAGCCATTTTGACTGTAACCATGGCGAGCCATTTGGCTCCCAGAGATAATCGGGCGTTCGGCTCGCATCAGGTTTGTCTACGTTCCCGTCACTTTGTTTCGAAGGGCAAGTAGTTCAATTAAGTTTTGCAGTGCACTTAGCTTACCAAAGCGAACATTACAGCGAAGCTGTTTATGGCTAGGGCTTCGTGGATTTTTCGTGTGCGTGACGAAAAAACTCTGCGCTCGCACTGAACCTACCAGCCGCAAGTGCCGGCGTCTGGAGCAGTAACTGTTTTAAAGCAAAAGCCTCAAACAAGTGTCATTTTGCACTCTCATTCGTCAACACTTTATTTTGTTCAGTTACTTCGAATCTGTTATACGATTTCTCAAAATTTTGGGGACCGCTGACTCACCTGCTGGCTTCAGTGCCCCTATTGGGCAGGAGATGGAACTATAGGGGACGCTTTATCGAGGTTGTTGTCCCCACAGCCCCGTGTTTACTAACACGGCATAACAAAGAAATTGAACCTTGTCATACCACGGCCTGGACACGAGCGCTTCGCTCTGACCAATGCTGGCCTTCGAATCATCATCTTCGATATCGCTGATCAAAAACAAACAAGAAAATTCGGTTTGTTGCCCCCACAGCTGAAGCATGCCGCTAGAGTCGTTACTGTTCGATCTTCTCCCCAATAGCGGTCTCCAAAAATTTCTTCGCGGACTTCAGGCGCACAACCCATTAAACGGGTGAAACGCGAACAATGCATGTAGTTGCAGAAACCTTAGTCGAAATATAAAGAAGCTTTGTGACCTTTCAACACACCCAAGGCGGGTAGCGCTACGTTGCGATAAAAATCTTTCGCCACCGCGAGGGGTGCAGCAGTCCGCAGACGAATCGTTTTCATCGCAGCTCTGTGCAGCCCTTTTCTTCCACCTGCCACATTTCCACTTCCGTGCGCCATATGACGGGGAAGCCGTGCGCGTGCGGCGCGAGCACCATTCCCTGCATTCTTCTTGAAGCTTGGGTAATTCCGAAATTTTCGTGTGGGTGACCAAAAACTCTACGCTCGCACCGCTCCCTCTTTGTCGTCGTTCCAAGCCCCCGCTTGCGTGTCTAGTTTCCTTTCCTTCCGCTCTCCCGGGTGGGGGGGGTCCTGGTGGTCCCGTCGCGCGTGTCTAGTTTCTTCCGGCTCCTCGGGGCGGCGATAGTCGTCCACGCGAATGTATTGTCACGAATGACAAATGATGAAGCGAAGAATAACTAAAGAAACGAAACGTTTAATGAGGCGAACTTGCGCCCAAATAACAGTACAGAAAAAGGATAGCGTCGCAGGCGTCGATGGCGGCGAAACAGCAGGATCGAACGATAAGGCGAGACTGACTCCGGCTTGGCACGCGGAGCAGCTTTTGTACACGCGTGGGTTTCTGGAGCATTCGGCGTAGAAGGTTCGACGGTAGAACATTCTAACCTCGAATCAACAAGACGGTTCTCGAATTTACCAGAACATCACATTCTAGTGTCAACAAAAATGTGTAGCCGCGTCCAGGAATCGAAACCTGGCCTTCTGCGTGAAAGGCAAGCGCGATAACCGTTAGGCCACGGGCGAGCTGTCTTTTCGGTCAGCTGCGCTCGCGGCAGTATAAAAAAGAACCAGAAAGACAAGTTGCTGTTCTCTATTTTCATTTTCACTTCTCTCGCCGTAATGGGGAGGCCCCATATAGTCTGGACTCGCGAAGAGCAACGCGCCTAGAATGGCAACGGCGGGAACGACAACGAGAATGTCAGCGACGGCGGCGCGTGGCACTTGTGTGTGCGTACCTTTCGTCACGATGACCACCGATCAAGAAAATAGATGTGTTCGCATATTTACTCAAAATTTTGTGCCACGTCTGTGTTGCGTGCTAAACAGCTTCGCTGGTCCTCCGCCCTTATAGAGTGAAGTAGCTCCCATTTTTTTACGTCGCGTGTTAATTGTGCGTCATAACGCTCAGTTACCTTTCTCGCGCATGCCATGTGAAAGGAAATAACAAAAACAGTAAAGCTGAACTGACTGCATGCGTATTTTG